AGACGGAATATCTAGGATCTACGGATTGGGATGTGATTGTCAGGTCGTCGGCGTATAAGTATATGTTGGTGTTGGGGGGATGTGGGATGTCGGAGTTGTAAATGGTGTATAGGTGTGGGGACAGGACGGTGCCCTGGGGGACACCGGCCTCCATGGGACGGGTGGTGGAAAGGGAATCTTGGATTTGGATGCGGAATTTTCGGTGGTGTAGGTAGGATTTTATGAGTTTGGTAAAGGATATGGGATATTGGTTGGTGAGCATTTTCATCAGTAGGCCTTCATGCCAAACCGTATCGAAGGCCTTTGCGACGTCCAGGAAGACAGCACCAGTGTACTGTCCCCTGTTGAAGGCCGCCGTGATGTGCTCGGTAAGGCGAAGGATTTGGAGTTCAGTGGAGTGATTGGGTCGGAAGGCGAACTGCTCGTCTGGAATGACTTGCAGTTCTTGGGAGTGGGTTCTTAGACGGGTTAGGATAATTTTTTCTACCACTTTGCTCATAGCCGGGAGCAGGCTAATGGGCCGGTAGTTGGATGGGATGGTGTGATCTTTGTTGGGTTTTGGGATAAGGATTATGTTTGCTGTTTTCCAGCGGGTAGGGAAGTGTCTTAGTCTGAGTGTCGCGTTTGTTATGTTTAGTAGGGCCATGAGGCCCTTGTGTGGTAGTCGTTTAAGTGTCGTGTTATGTATATTGTCGGGTCCGGGGGCTTTTCTGTTTTTAAGTCTGCGTATTGTCAGTCTTAGTTCGTCAGGTGTTGCGGGGGGGATTATGTCATTGTCTGGCTCTCTGTCGACGCGTCGGGCCGCGCGCTCAGCCACTATCTCGAATTCCTCGTCTTCGTCGGGCAGCTGAGGCAGTCTACACTGCAGTTCCAGGCTATCGGCGAAAGCCTCGGCCTTTTCCTGGTTCGTGTAAACCACCCCCACACTACCGTGGATTGGAGGAATTTTACGGCGAGCGGTCTGTCGCAGGGCCCTCTGCGTTTTCCAGAGGCTGTTGTCTTGTGGATCCAGCGACTCCAGGTGCCTAGCCCAGTTATCCTGGGCCAGTTCATCCAGAGCCGCCTTCACCCGTCTGTTAAGTACGTTTAAGTCATGTCTGTGTCGGGGGAGTCGGGTGCGGGTGGCAAGCCGTTTCGCACGTCGTCTGTCACGTATTAAGTTTTTTATGTCATCGGGGAGGGTGCCCCGGGGGTTTGTCAGTCGGGGGACAATAGTCTCCGTCGTAGTCTGAGTCAGGGCGTTTTTAATGTCAGTCTCAAGGGAGAGGATTGCCGCCTCCAGATCATGGGTGGTTTCGATGACTGGGAGCGCCATGTTTCCTTGCATTACTGTTCGGAAACGCTCCCAGTCAGTGATCTTTTTTCAACCGCTGCTAATGGCTACTCTCACTATCTTTGTCAAACCGAAAACACCTTTGAGTGCAATGTTACGTAGTGTCCAATGGAGTACTATCAGAAGAAGAAGACGAATCAATTCAGGCTAACTAATCAAGTTAGGATTTGATATTGACATTGACATTTCAAAGAAAATAATTGTAATATGTTTAAGAAATTTCGTGCACGTTTTGTCTTAAAACCATACAGTTAAAAGTTTTGAAGTATTAAAGGACATTACTAGAGATATTCCCTATGTTCTTTTGCTAAAAGTTGTAAGTTTGTGAAAGATATTAGTTTCGACCACAGATCACAGAAACAATGTTTCGACCAGCATCGGAATTCGTCAACTTTACTAAACACTGATAATACAATTATTTCTTATGTGGATTGCGAAAAAGTGTTACAGCTCGACATGAAGGAAGAGAAAAGCGAGTTGAAGGATATTTCAGACAGTCAGAAAATGTGTCGATTTTGTACACACCCAGTGAAATGTGAATCTAAATGCATGTACGAAGAGGAACTGGAAGCTATTCAGAAATTGACTCCTGAAGTGGTATGAACGATATTATAGTTTTTGCAATTTCATGAACCAATTTGCAGGATATAATCAGCATCAAAGATACTGTTGTATGTAAGGAATGCTCTGATTCCTCGTCCACTCACAACTTCCCAAAAAATTGCTTAGAAGTAGATAGTTCAGTCATGGAAGGTCGAAAAGAGACGTCACTATCTGATTTATTCATTAAGACTGACAAGCTGGATGAGAAATTCGATTTTAACAAGATGGAAATATCGATAAAAACCGAATGTGTTGACATAAAATCGGAAGATGACATGAGGTAAGAGAAGACTATTATAACATTAATTTAAAAAAATGGCACAATTGCTGGTCTTCATTCTGAAAAGAATTATACATTATTGTACAAATATGTCCTTATACTATGACAGCGTATTAACTTATGTAAATGGGGATATACTATCCAAGTTGAAGCAACCAATTACTGTTCCAAATTAATTACCTATGTATTGTATTTAGAATTTTGTTAAACAATATGTTCCCATTCCATTGCTCGTCAAATCTATTGGGATTTGGAGGTCAATGGAAGTGATGAAAAGTAAATCAGTTGAGTTTATAGTGTTGCCAACTGTTCTTTATAATTACTTGAGATGAAGTCAACAAATTGGGATTTCTTCCGACAAATTGAGATGTTAAATTTGAATAGTGTCCAATTTAAACAAAAGATATTAACATTTTATTTTGTGTAAAAAAATATAATATAAAATCATATACAAAGCACAATAAAAAAACAGTAAAAAATATTTAATACAATTTTCTTTTTATTTGAATGGGTATTTCTGTGGCATAGGAAATAAAAAAAAACAAGTAATATAAAAATAAACAACTTCAAACGAATTTATTTTTACAAGAAATAGATATACTAATGTGTTTCAAACTTACAAAAAATGATTTAAAAGAATATTCCTAAGTTTAAATAAAGTAAAAATTTAACATTAGCCGTGTTATCCCTAATGCGCATACTCGGAAAGAATAGCCTCATACGTAGGTGAGCTCTTGTTGATATGTTATCGCTGTCATCATTAGCGTATTTTCTCATCTTTTGTTTAATTTTCTAATTCTACCAAGTATTGCTATTGTTTTTCTTGGTTTATTATAGACATACTCTTAACCATAACCAAACTTTTCATCAATGATATCCTGTTGTGAGGCTACTTTGCTTACGTGAAATTATCTTTAATGCGCATACTCAGTAACATTGATAACAGAAAAATCGAAAGAGGTTTTTTTTATTCCAAAATGAATGAAGAATCCAAAACTGATTTTTATTTTATGTAAAAGCAGTGGGATACCAATATTTTCTTTAGAAATATCCAGTAAGGTGCTACTAGGCACGCCACTGGCAATATTAAAAATAATGTTTTTCGTTGCAGAACGTGCTATCTTGATGGTAGTTAACGTCTACAAAATTTCATTGAAATATCTTTAGCCGTTTGACAACAATTAATAAATATGATTTTTTTAAACCAATCATGAACACCTTGTATTTCCTTAACGAAGCATATTTCGAATATAATTTATGTATCAAACTCATATTATTTTTTGAATCTCTATCGGACAATTTGAAAGCGATTTTCCTGTCATATACTAAATAATTGCGTATAGCTTAATTGTATTTATTCTTCCATGTAACTTCAAACCCCTTTGTCAGATTTAAATGAAATTTATTATACTAGTACTTCTGTATAGATCACATTATTAATTATTTTGTTAATTGTCGATACAACTCTGACTTCATATGAAAAATTTGATTTATGTGATATTAAAAATGAAATAATGCCCGGTGGAGTTCAGAAATTTATGATTGCATTTTGACATCACCTGTAACCCCTTAAAATTAAAACTTCGCTTTGAAAAATACCTTGTACTTGAATTTTTTTTCAGTGAAGTTCTACCACAGAGTTGCAATGAGGGACTATACGAGAGGAGTGACTGTAAAGACGCAGAAGAGGATGGATACAAATATAATACTTATGTTTATGAAACCAAATACAACACGTTACCACATAACGATGCTTACAGGAATGATATCACACAGCACGAACTGGAACATAAAGTTGAAATGTATGAGTGTAACGACTGCAATTACAAAACCAAATATAGGAGTTATCTCAAACAACACCAATTGAAACATAAAGACCCTTCGCAGGTTCAACTGTACAAGTGTAACGATTGCGATTTCAAAACTAAATACCGGAGACATATCAGATCACACCAACTGAAACATAAAGATCCTTCGGAGATTCAAATGTACAAGTGTAACGACTGCAATTTTGAAAGTAGATACAAGAAGAATATCCAACAGCACCAAATCAAACATAAAGATTCTTCACAGGTTCAAATGTACAAGTGTAACAACTGTGGCTACAAAGCTAAACACATGAAGAACATCAAACGGCACCAACTGAAACATAAAGATTCTTCACAGGTTGAAATGTACAAGTGTAACGACTGCAATTACAAAACTAAATACAAATGTAATATCAAAAAGCACCAAGTGAAACATGAAGACCGTGCTCAGGCTCAAATGTACAAGTGTAACGTCTGCGATCATGAAACTAAGTACAAAGGTAATATCAAAAAACATCACCTGAAACATAAAGATCCTTTACAAGTTTAAATGTACAAGAGCAACAAATAACAGTATCAAATGTCACATGTCAAGGTGGGGAGATCCTTCTTAAAAGCAAAATGTGTGGATGTGATTTGCCAATAACAAAGCGGGAGGAGTCTTTGAAGAGACCGCAATTGATGCACAAAAACTGCTCATTGAAGTGAAAATATAGTGTAAATATGACACTGATTGTAAATATATGTATATGAAGTAAAACGTAATGCCTGCTTTAAAAAACTTATCCAAACAAAAGCCGACAAGTGATTTTGGATTAACATTTGCCTATTGACAAATGGTTTATAGCTTCGACAAGTTATATTAAGTGTGTACGCATATTTTAAACGATATCGTTTACTGCGTAGAATATGTTAATAAAAAAGTCTAATTTAAAATAAACATGCACCACTTTTTTATTTGAAACCTATTTTATTTAATAATAAGCCTTGGTTTCCAAGAAGAAAAAGGCAATAGTATGAAGCATATCAATAAATATTTAGTTTAATTTTCGGTGGTTATCAAATAGCGTTCACTGAAACAAATGCATGATTAGTGAACAGAAAGAATTTGAAATATACTATACGCCCGCACACATACTGTTTATAATTTAAAAAATATTTATTTGGAAACGAAAGAACATGGAAATAATGTTTTAATAAACATGTTTTGAAATTTTGAAAATGGAAATTCAAAGTAAGATAAATTAAGCATAAATGAAGAAAAAATTGCATTTTAAAAATTTATGGGCGTAGCTAGAAGGGGGGGGGGGTAGGGGCCCACTCCAGAAAAAAAGATGTAATATTATCTTTTTCGTAAGTTGGTGGCTGCCTGACTTATTTTTTTTTTAGAATCAAATATGAAATCGTTTAGAAATTTTATATCGGTAAGTTGTTGATTGAGAGAACTTTTTTTATTTTTAGAGGCCTCCATAAAGCTTGCAGGTTGCACATCTGGCCCCCAAGCAAGAATTGTAGCTACGCCCATGAATTTATCCGAAGTTTGACTGAAAACGCACATGAAACAAATTAAGATATTCTTCAAATTAATTAAATAAGTAAATTTGAAGCATATCTTTATGTGAAAATTGCATTTTAAATTGTCTAAGCTGTGACATTGTAAAAATTGATTAAAATGCAAACCATATCAGATGACTCATCGTCGTAACCGAAAAAATATGCTTAATTAAAAAATGAGAAAATACGATATGGTGCCCGTAAGAACAACAAAAGCTACATGTCATTTCTCCATCCCAGTAGGCGCTAATGACTATATCAGGCCCATCAATAGAGCGAAAAAAAGGCATATCTTGACAAAAATACTGACAGCATACCACCTGTGCCATCATTTAAAAGGTGGTCCGTAGATATAATCTGATGTATTTTCGACTCGCAACTCTCATTAATTAATTTGTTATTAACATTTTAGTGCAAAAATTGCGGTTTTTTTAGTTTTTTTGCTTATAAAACCAAAATTACTAGAGCAATCTCAATTCCGTAAATGGGAAAGTTGTAGGAAATTAAATTTCGAAGAAAATGAGAGGTCGAGCGCTTCGATCAGTTGATCAGAACCGGAGAAAATCTGGAAAAACCGGAAAATTCGACATTTTCTTCAAAAATTCATAACTTTGTCATTTATGAAGATTAAGAGCTAAAATTTGGCACAGAAGTAGATAATTATATCAACTTTAGGTGTGCAAAAGGCAGGCACTGTCGGACCATTAGTTTTTGCGCAATTGCAGTTTCAAATTTTTTATGCATTTTTTTACCGGGAGTCTGCTTGCGTTAAAAATGATCCGATTTTAATTCTAATACCGGTTTTCAAAACGAAGTAAAATACTATGAAACGTATATTTTGTTTTAAAAAATATTTCAGCAACATTTTGTTTTTAAATTTTAAGTGTTTTCTATCTATAAAATAATGCCATCGCATAAGTTAGGACTTAGGGCTAAATCAAGTGCTATGTACGTCCGTTTACACCTACTAAAAAAGCATTTCTATAAGTCACTAAGTATTATAAGTGCAGTAGACAAAGATAGATCAATGTTCAGTGTAACTCAGTCTGTAGACGACATAGAAAATATAGTACTAACTATATTTTCTATTGTAGACGATTATAGGTCCTATGTGTTGGCTTAGATCAGGGGTCGGCAAGTAATTTTAGGTGGGGTCCGCGCCATTATTCCATGGCTAGAGATTCACCGGATACTTTTGAAAATTTTTAACGAGGTCCAGAAAAAAAAATCAAACTAATTTTTTATTTTAATTTGGACTCAAATTTAATCCGCTTACTAAACTATTAAGAACTGAAATCAGTCACACAATTATAAAGGATTAGAAAAAATGATAAGGGTGGCACTTAAACGTAAAAAATATTTTTTAAATAATCTGTTTCAGTAATTTATACTTTATTTTTGGCGGTCCAGTATTTTATCTTCCGCGGTACGCCAGTTGCCGACCCCTGGCTTAGATGTTCTTATCAATGGAATCATCTACTAATTTGGTAATGGCACTGTTTTCTGTCGGAACCAAAATACCCATTTAGTCAAATTGAAATTATCTTTAGCGTAATGTCCCATGGACAAAGGTAAGTAAAAGAAGAAGAAGAATTCATTAGGATTAACCAATCAAGTCATGGTTTGTTATTTTTATTATTTTTCTGTTTACATTTCAAAGAAAATTGTATTGTAAAAGTTTTGAAGTAATAAAGAACGTTACTGAGGTATTTGTGACGTTCATTTGCTGAAATTGGTAAGTCTACGAACGATATTAATTTCTAGTAGCCAATTGGTTTAGGTGTCAACAATCCTAACACGTATATGGTTGGTTTATAAAAAAGGATTAGTCCTAACTTAACCGTAACTGAACCTTAATCTTAGCCCTAAAAAGTTAAATGTATTGGTTTATAAAAATCTTAACCTTGCCCTAATTCTATACATTACATTTTGTACATTTAACTTTTTAGAACTAAGATTAAGGTTAAGTTACGGCTAAATTAAGACTGATTCTTTTTTATAAACCAACCATTAGCGACTTCTGCCAATGTTGTTTTATTTCTGTTTCGTTAAAATTGCATAAATTTCAGAAATTTGATAGTGAGAGCAAAGGTTATATGTAATACTTGCAAAATAAACTTACATGCAGCATCGGAATTTAAGTCAACATGTCTGAAAACTGGTAACACACTTATTTCATATACGTATTGCGAAAAAGTTACAGTTTGACATGAAGGAAGAGAGAAGCGAGTTGATGGATATTTCAGACAGTCAGAAAATATGTCGATTGTGTACGCTTCCGGTAAAAAGTAAGTTTACTTGCATACGTGAAGAGGAACACGAAGCTATTCAGAAATTGACTCCCAAAATGGTATGAACAATATTAAATACTTGCATTTATCGCAATTTAATGAAACATATTTGTAGAATATAAGTACAAACAAAGATCGTGTTGTATGTAATGAATGCTTTCATTGCTTACGCACTCAATACAGTTTCCTAAAAAATTGCCTGGAAGTAGATAGTTCAGCCACAGAAGACCGAAAAGAAACATCACTATCTGATTTATTCGTTAAGACTGAAAACCGGGATGAAGAATTCGTTAATAATGAAATGGAATCGTTAATAAAAACTGAATGTGTCGACATAAAATTGGAAGATGAGGAAAGGAGGTAAGAGAAGACTATTTTAACTTTAATTTAAAAGCAGTAAGTAGAGTTCAATTGAAGCATTTTAAAAAGTTGATAGGTATGATCTGAGAATTTTTCACCCGTTGGCGTGCTTAAAAAATTATAACTATTTTATGGGGAATTTAATTCTAAAACTTTTCTTAATCTTGTTAGTTTTCAAAAGTTTTATCGTTTCCAACAAAAACACGAATAACTAATAAGCATTGTAGCTATTATTTAAAATCATCGAAAGTTCAAAAGATGGCTATGAATTTAAACGTCAAACTTGACAACCAGGAAAAAAGTCACTTAATTTTAGTAATTGTTTGCCGAGTGCAGGTAACCTTATAATTTCAGTTATTTTATTCCTTTCAATTTTTACTGTTTTATTTTTATTTTTCGTGTTTCTGTGAGTTTTCACATATTTATTTATGATACAAATCTGACGTAATCAAAACTTTATTTACACGATAATAAAAATGAAATAATGCCTTACGGTATCCAGCAACTTATAATTTCATTTGAAATCACTCCTTAAAATTAGAACCTTGCTTCTAAAAATAACCTGTACATGCAATTTTTTTCAGCGACGCGTTACTGCAGAGCTCCGATAATGAACCATCCGAGAATACTGACTGTAAAGATGTAGTAGATGGATGTAAACATGAGAATGGATCAGAAACGAAAACCAAGCAAGAGCACAAAGTATTGTACAAATGTGATAAGTGTATTTACGAAACTGGAAGTAAGATCCGGTTTACGGCACACTGTTTGAGACATGAGAAAGATTTAGAAGCATATAAATGTGAAACATGTGAGTATGAAGCTGACAATAAGAAATCATTTCGGAGGCACCTATTGTTGGGGCATAAAGATCCTTCGAAGGTCCAGATGTACAAGTGTAAAGACTGCGATTATGAAACAAAACACAAGAGCTATATCAAACCGCACCAACTGAAACATAAAGATCCTTCTCAAGTTCAAATGTACAAGTGCGGTAACTGTGATTTTGAAACGAAATACAAGAATACTTTCAAAGTGCACCAACTGAAGCATAAAGATCCTTCTCAGATTCAAATGTACAGATGTAACAGCTGCAGTTACACAAGTAAATACAAGAATTATATCAAACAGCACCAACTGAAGCATAAAAATCCTTCAGAGGTTCAAATGTACAGATGTAACGACTGCGATTATGAAAGTAAATACAAAGGTGATATCAAAAAGCACCAACTGAAACATAAAGATCATTCGCAGGTCCAAACATACAAGTGTAATGACTGCGTTTATGAAACTAGGCACAAGACGGATATCAAACGGCACCTACTGAAACATAAAGATCCTTCACAGGTTCAAATGTACATGTGTAATGACTGCAATTACAAAACTGAGTACAGATATTGTATGGAACGACACCAACTGAAACATAAGCATCCTTCTCAGGTTGAAATGTACAAGTGTAACGACTGTAGTTACGAAACTAAATACAAGAGCTATATCAAGCAGCACCAACTGAAACATAAAGATCCTTCGCAGCTTCAAATGTACAGGTGTAACGACTGCGATTTTGAAACCAAATATAGGAAGTATATCAAACGGCACCAACTGAAACATAAAGATCCTTCGCAGGTTCAAATGTACAGGTGTAACAACTGCAATTACAAAACTGAGTACAGAAATTATCTGAGACGACACCAGCTGGTACATAAAGATCCTTCGCAGATTCAAATGTACAGGTGTAACAACTGCGATTACGCAAGTAAATCAAAGAGTGGTATCAAAAAGCATCAACTGAAACATAAAGATCCTTCACAGGTTCAAATGTACAGGTGTAATGACTGTGATTTCGAAACGAAATACAAGAGCAATATCACATGTCACCTATTGAAGCATAGAGAGTCTTCTTAAATGCAAATGTACCAGTGTGATTTGCTAACAATAAAGCATGAAGTCTTTGGGGGGCCCCAATTGATGCACAAGCAAGTGTGAATTCCCGTCCATCGAAGTGCAAAAAAAGTCTAAATATTTGTATTATTTCAGAGGATATTTGCACAAATTAAATTTTTTGTGGACTCTTAACACGCTGTTTCTCGAAGACAGTTAATATCAAAGTGGATTTATAAGACAAAGTACCATTTTTCTTGGTTGTTCTAAACACGGGACATCTTGTATTATCACCTATAAACTTTTAACTTTTTATATTGAATAAGGTACAATTAAATAAAGCAGTTTTTTCACACAAATTTTGAAATGATCTTACAAAAATGTTGAAAACCACTTTCTCACCTTGCCGACCCTATGCAGTGGTGAATTTCGCAAATACCATCAATCTTGTTATCTACATCTAGCAGAAAATCTCAAAATCAATTGTCCACATGATTTTCGAGACGAGTGTTGCTGTAAACCAGAAGTCACTGCTCTCTAATCATTCTGCATCTAGTAGTGACTTATTAAAAGTATATTTGTACAAAGTCAAGTGACATATATCTCACTATTTGACTATTTAAATTAATTTTTAGGGTGCTGTAGTTAGAACTTTTTACCACATAAGCTAGTGAAGTGTTGATTTCTGTTTTTAGCTGTTCTACTCGTAAATGAGTTGTTTTTTGTTGTATTTTTGAGTACAAGTTGTGTACATGTGGGGATCAAGCGCTTGTGACAACATACTAAATGTATTTTGTAGTAATTGGCATATTTTTGTGTGTTTATGTAGGCTTTTGTTTTCTTTATTTCTTTCTTTTAAATTTAACCTACTTCCGTATTAATTAGTTTTAAATTCTCTTTAAACCAGTTCTATTATTTAAAGTAAAATTTGACAGTTCATTTCAGTTGGATCTAATTTAATTTTAAATATATATATGAGGTATATTTCAGTTTCATGCTGCATATCTTTTGTAATTTTGATTGAATTTTTGGTAGTTCTTGAAGAGTATAGGATTATGTGTGAAATTGCGAAATTGGCAATTGCGAATTGTCAACGTTATTGTCTTGTCCAATTAACATTAATGTGTCTTGTTAGTGCTATTTCAACTAGGAGTAAGCGTTAAACCCTATTTAATTTTTTGTCGTCCAACAATATTATTATTGTTATTAGTGTTCAATTGTACTATTAAAACTTCAAACTGCTATCAGGTATGTACCAGTTCAAAGAACACAGAAAGCGAAAATAATCTTATTTCTTTACTTTTAACAGTTTATTACAGTACATGTTTTCTTAATGTTTTATTGTTTATTTTTAGGATAAAAGTAAGTTTAAATTTCGATGGATATAACTGATACAGATACCGATAAAAATTAGGTATGGGATGCCAATGCAGTCTTCTGCAATTTATTAACCATATTTTACGTCTCGGGATCTGCAGGGAACGTAAAATGTATAGAAAATTTGTAGCAAATAATGTTTACAAACCCACTAAAATTAATTCAAATTTCTGAAAAACTTATGAAATTTCAATTTGAGGTTATATGGAGTTGGATTGAACTTTACTGTCGTGTTGAATGATTGTATAGCAAAAGTACTTATCTATCTAATCTATAGCCATTTCTCGATTGATTCGTACAATTTGGAGCCGAACACCCAGCCATTTTTAACACAAAATTCTAGGAAACTATAGTGACCTATGATTTTGACATGATGAAGTGGGCTCCAAAATGGCGGACGAGTCTGATGTTCTGATGTCAGTGATGTCTTTTATCTAGTGCCACAATTATTTTGATTTTGATCTACGGCTTGACATCGGAGAAAATTCAACTCGTAGTCGCTTTTAGCCAGTCAAATTCAACCAACGGAGAACGAGAACGGCCTGAAAAATAATACTCTAAATTGCTACTTTATCTTTGTCAGAGTGCACCTTTGAGCCTTTAGCCGTTGAGGCCTATGTTACTTCATGTCCAATAGACGGTCAATAAAAGAAGAAGAAGAAGAATATATTAATGAGGTTAACCAAGCAAGACATGGTTTGATATTTGATAATGAATTACATTTGAAAGAGAATTGTAATGATATGTACAGGAAACTTCGTGTAAGATTTGCTTAAACATTACAACTGTTAAAAGTTTTGAAATAATAACGTTACAAAAGATATTTGCTGATGTTCTTTTGTTGAAATTGGTGTGTCAAAGATATTAGCTTCTACTAGCTCAATTCGTACAGCTTTCAACAAGCCCAACACGTGTGTAACGACTTAACAATAAACTTATTTTCATTCTGATTCGTTAATATTGTATTCAGAAATTTGATAGCAAAAGCAAAAAGGTTATGTGCTTGCAGAAGAAAATTATACGCACCATCACCATTTAAGTCAACGTGTTTGAATACTGATAGTATAGTTATTCCATATGTGGATTGCGAAAAAGTGTTACAGCACGACATGAAGGAAGAGAGAAGTGAGTCGATGGAAATTTCAGTCGGTCAGAACATATGTCGATTGTGTACACACCCGATGAAAAGTGAGGTTATATGCGTACGTCAAGAGGAATTTGAAATTATTCAGAAACCGACTCCCGAAATGGTATGAACAATAATAAATACTTGCATTTTTCACAATTTAATAAAACAAATTTGCAGAATATAAATATCAACAAAGATGCTGTTGTACGTAACGAATGCTTTGGTTCTCCCTGTATTCACCACAGTTTCCTAAGAAATTGCTTAGAGAGCAGCTCAGCCACAGAAGGTCGAGTAGAAACTTCACCATCCGATTTATTCGTTAAGACGGAAAACTTGGACAAAGAATTCGAGATTAACGAGATGGAAAAGTCAATCAAAACTGAATTTGTTAACATAAAATCGGAACATGCGGAAATGAGGTAAGGGAGGGATATTTTAGCATTAATTTAAAAATGGTCATGGTGCTGTCGTTATTTATACAATTAAATTAGTACATAAATATATCATGAAATTATTAGTGCATGTTATTAACTTGCGTTAATACAGTAAAATCTCATTAATCCGGCACAGTAAAAAACCTACGAATGTTGGAATATTGAAAATTAAATGAACATGTAAAATGTAAACAATTTGAATTAAAAAACGTTACTTTTAATTGTTTATTAACAAATTGGTTGGTACATATATACATATTACATTTGTGTGTGCATATACAGGGTGTGAAAAAAATGTAAATTTATAAATATTGTGGAATCCTCTCAGAATATTTTAATGAAATTTTACAGGCCTTGACAGTTAACAACAATTAAGAAAAATCAGTGGCATCATTTTTTTCTTTAAAAATATCCAAAGGCGTGCCTGTGCGCACGCCACTGGTGAAACTGAAAACAATATTTTTATCGTAAAACGTGTATTGTTGTTAACTGTCAAAGCCTGTAAAATTTCATTAAAATATTCTGAGCGGTTTCCGCAATATTTATAAATTTGCATTTTTTTATTAAAATTTTAGCACCCTGTAGATCGGAAACGAAGCGTTTTCGGAATATGGTATATTAAGGAAATATATCACAAATCACTTGTACTATAACCTCCTGCAAGGAAAGCATCGACTTACCAAACACCCTGTAAATGTGTATTGTAATTTTTTATTTTTTTCTGTAAAATAATCTTTCAACTAAGCTATAACTGTATAAACTGTGCATACAAATGTGACATGCGCAGTAACAGGGAAAAAATAACGCCGAATTACTAGACGTGCCGTATAATGAAGTGCCGCATTATAGAGATTCTATTGGAATTGGAATTGGGAAGCAGTCAATTATGAAGTAATTATTTACTATAGCGTAAAATGCCCAAATCATCACAAAATTTTTCTGACCCCCTCTGTTTTTGAGTTTGCAGAACGTTAATTTGAAATTATTTTTGTGTGGACAAACCTAGTATTCGAGAAAGAGAAAATTCAAAATTTTGACCTGGATATTTGGCACAACACTATTAACATGGAAAAATAATAATTTTGTGAAAAAAAACAACCGATTGTATTAATCGATTATGAAAAAAAATATTGCGCAAGCATTTGTGCAATCCTTTTTGAGACCTCAGAACCCGCGATCCTAATTTAAATTTTTTATTTTGCTACTTTTTCTTGCAAGCTTTAAAATTGTTTCAGTTATCTTTTCATGATGTTTTGCGGCGTCCAGTTAGATGTTGCTAACAAATATCCAGTTATTTTTGTTAGTTGCTGTTTATCGATACACATTTTTTTGTGTCTAAACAAGCCTGTTTATCTAGCGTCTAAGATGAAATTTGATTTTGGGTGCTTGGATTATTTTCATACCAAATACCAATTCTTTTCCCTTCGTTTTTTATATTCAAAAAGAAAATATTTGTTTTTACATTTGCCATCCTCTGATGTCACTAGACAAAATCCTATGTGCGTATGTCTGGATTTTTTTTAGTTTTTTTACATTTTTTTTTTTTAGAATCTGTGCTCTCTAAATATCCCTATTCAAGTCTTCCATGATGGCAGCTTGTTCTTGTTTCAAAGCAAGTTCAACCGAAGCAATATGATAATATTCACATTGCAATCATAAATCATTTTCTTTGTCCCATCTTGATGTTTGCCGTCAGTTAATAGCATGTTAGTCCAGTCGGTATCTGTTTTAAAAGTAGGTCGTATGCATGTTTCATATAGTAACGCTAATGTTTGTTGGAAATAGTTCTGAATATTACATAAAATGATAATTGCGATATGCGTCCGTTGAAAAAGTTGTGCATAATTGTTAGTGCAAGAAAATGCAAAAAAAATTTAAAAAGGCACACGGAGAATATTGACATTAGAGAAAATAGTAAAATGGAAAAAAGTTTTATTTTGAGATTCTCTTCAAAATAAAAGTGGTCCGAAATTTTTGAATGCCGCAATACAGCATAGACCGAAAAAAAATTCGTGAAAAAATATGTTTTTTGCATGAATTTATTTCGGATCTTGCCTTTAGAGCAGCCATATAAAAAGTATAGTTCTGATTACTTCATGATATGGCAGAAATTTTTTCATTGAAATCGGCCGGGTAGATTTCTCTAGATAATTCAATTGTTAATTAAGAAAATGCAGAATTATACTTATTTTTCAATTCTCTCTCACGGTAAAACCAATGATTATTTTGAGCTCCCAATTTTTATACATACCTTTTGGAGTCTCAACTATCAATCCCCATTTAAAAATTTTCGATTTTATAAATTTTAACTATTAGAATTTTTTCAAAATTTCTTCATCTCTTGCACCCATCAGATAACTGACCTTTCTTTCTAAAGCCAGTAGTTTACAAGGAAACTCAAACTATAAAACTTCAACGGTTTCAGTTCCACATAAGACCCCACACAAAGCTTTTGAAGTAATGTTTCAATGCGAAGTTGCTTCGTTTTGTCGCTGTGGGGCATCAAATTCTTTTAAATATAACTATATAATATATAAATGAAATAATGCTTCGTGAAGTTGAGAAAATTATAATTGCATTTGACATCTCTTATAACCCCTTAAATTTAAAGCCTCGCTTTGAAAAATACCCTGTATATGCATTTTTTTCAGTGACGCTCTACCACAGAGCTCCAATAATGGACCATATGAGAAGAGCGACTGCAGAGATATAGAACAGGATGGATATAGACACGATAATAGATCGGTAAACAAATTTAATATGAACACCAAGCAGGAGCACAATGTACCGTACGAAGGTGATAAATGTATTTACGAAACCAAGTACAACACATTACCACCTGAGGATGCTTCACAGGTGTCAATTTATGAATATGGTGATTGCAGCTATAAATCAAAGAATAATAATTCCTCGCAGGTCCAGATGCACAGGTGTAACGATTGCGATTACGAAGCTAAAGATAAGAGAACTATCAAACGGCACCAACTGAAACACAAAGATCCTTCGCAGATTCAAATGCACAAGTGTAGCGACTGCGATTACGAAACTAACTTCAGAGAGAATATCAAACAACACCAACTGAAACATAAAGATCCTTCGCAGATTCAAATGCACAAGTGTAAGGACTGTGATTACGAAACTAAATACAGAATGGGTATCAAACTTCACCAATTAAAGCATAAAGATCCTTCACAGGTTCAAATGTACAAATGTAATGTCTGTAACTACCAAACTAAATACAAAAGTGCAGTCAAACAGCACCAACTGAAACATAAAGATTCTTCTCAGGTCCAGACGTACAAGTGTAATGACTGCAATTACGAAACTAAATACAAGAGTCATCTCAAACCACACCAACTGAAACATAAAGATCCTTCCGAGGTTCAAATCTACAGGTGTAAGGACTGCGATTACGAAACAAGATACAGAAAGAATATCAAACAGCACCAACTGAAACATCAAGATCCATCACAGGTTCAAATGTACAGGTGTAACGAGTGCGATTACGAAACTAAATACAAGGAGGTTATTAAACGGCACCAACTGAAGCATAAAGATCGTTCGCAGGTGCAAATGTACAGATGTAACGACTGCAGTTACGAAACTAAATACAGCAGTGCTATCACACAGCACCAACTGAAGCACAAAGATCCTTCGCAGGTTCAAATGTACAGGTGTGGCAACTGCGATTTCGAAACTAAATACTGGAGTTATATTAGACAGCATCAGCTGAAACATAAAGATCCATTGCAGGTTTAAATATGCATACTGCTATTATGAAACTAATATAAAAAAAGAAGCGATATCAGCTAACGTGTGCTGTAGCACAGAGAGCCTTCTTAAACTTGAATGTACCAGTGTGATTTGTTAACAACCAATCACAAGGAGTCTTTGAAAAGACCTCAATTGATGCACAAAAATTCGGAAATGTGAATTCCTGCCCATCGATGTGCAAAATATAGTTAACATTGACGACATTGACCATAATTATGTGAATAAGGAATCTGCCTCGAAAACATCGGGAGACATGAAGACCGTACCCAGAGGCCAACATGTAATTTTGGACTAACATTTGTAGAAATCACTAATACGTAGTTATGAATTGAAAAGTCCAACCATTTGCTTATTAACAAACGGTTTATAACTTCTACAAGTTATGTACATACCTACATTTAAATCAAGGACATTGTTTACTGTGTAGAACATGTAATTAATAAGAAAATGTAATTAAAAATAAACATGCAGGGCCTTTTTTTGATAGAAAGCTTTGAGAATTACCGACATCACTGTGTATATATAGGGAGAATTAATCATGCAATGTTGCCAGTGTTACATACAGGGCGTCCCAATTTTAATTTATCAGAATTTAGGTGCAGATAGAGCTACCAAGAATAATAGTCCTGTAGCCAGGGGCGTCCCAATTGCCTACTTCATTTAAATGGAGTTACCCAAGTGATTTATGTATTTTGAGCTGCAGAACACGAATTTTTTGGGTAGAAGTTTGACCGGATGTCGATCAGTTTTTTATTAACAAAAAACTTGCAAAATATTCCGGGTTTTGATGGTACATCTTCGGGCTCTGGGTTAACATGACATTTTTCCGGGTTTTCTTTGTTGCAGAAAAATCGTGATCTCAAATTCATATCTCCGTGTCACGAAGTAGATATTTGTTTCAACTGAATTGTTTATATAATATGCTTCAGCAAAACTTTTCATTAAATAATATGTTGAAAAAGAGAGGATTGATATAGTTTTGCAAAGCAAGATAATATGAATTATTTAAAACAACAACTTCAGAAGAGCTTGCAGGAATTTTAACTGATCGACCTTACGATATGAGGATAATAAATGGAGAAATACATAAAGAAGGCATTATAAAAACTATTTGGAAAATTATAACTATTAATATTTTTGAAATATGTTTAAAACATTTTTTACTTTAAATTTCTAATTATGACATTCCCCCGTTAATACCTCCAATTTGTATAAATAAACAGTGCTTATGATTTTATTCATTTATAATAATTAAAATTAAAATAATTATGTATTGTTAAAAGATGAGAAATCGAATTTAATCCAATTTGAGTTAAGATAAATAATTCTCAATACCATAAGTGTAGTTTTACTTATAAAATTAATATATCTATTCATTTTTAATGGAATGTTTTATCTTGTCCCTATGTTAGGTATTTTTATAGTCTTTGTAGAACAGAAATTCGTCGGCTGTCCCTTCTGCCATTCATCTGAATATAATAAAAACCAAATCACAAATTTTTCAAAATTTTTAGCTTAATCATACTTTCAGTATGATCACACATAAATGTAGTTAAAATCATTTTAATTTCATACGGGAATACTTCCTAACGGAAAAAAGGGGTAAGGAATCGAGTAAAACTAGCTAATTGGTTCAATTAAATGTAGCGCAATATAGTAGAAGTTCTGTGAACCGCACTAGCTCTATCTCTCTCGCACACGTCTGTGCGATTGCCGTTTATATAGGCAAAATGACATTTTCGTGTCCAGTAGTTTATAAGGTCTATGGTTTGACCAGATGTTTTAAAGAAGGTTATGTTTTATGTCATAACAAGCACATCACAATTTACTGTTTTCAAGAAAATTGTTGCAATGAATCGTCTTCAAGAAACTCTGTGTAGGCTTTGTCGTACAAATATAACCGATAAAAGTTTTGAAATAATAGACAACGCTACTAGAGACATTCTACATGTGCTTTTGTTCAAATTGGTAAGTTGGTGAAATATATTAAAGTTTACTATCTCGATTAACATTTCTCAACAGTCTCGTACAGTAAAGCGATTTAGCAATCTATTTTCAATTTTTCTTAATTATTTTTGCCACATTTATTTTGTTTCTGTTTGCTTAAAGTTGCATACATTTCAGAAGTTTGATGACGAGAACAAAGAGGTTATATGTAATGGTTGCACTGGAAAATTGAATGCAGCCTTGGAATTTAGGTCATCTTGTCTGAATAACGATAATACGATTATTCCACATGTGGATTGCAAGGGAATGTTAGAGCTAGATATAAGAGAAGTTTATGTGAAGGAAAAAGGAAGCGAGTTAAGTGATATTTCAGACAGTCAGAAAATATGTCGATTGTGTCTGCACCCAGTAGAAAGTGAGTTTAAGTACATACATGAAGAGGAACTCGAAGCTATCCAGAAATTGACTCCTGAAATAGTATGAACGACATTAAATACTTGCATTTATCTCAGATTAAAAAAATTACTTTGCAGAATATAAATATCATCAAAGATCCCGTTGTATGTAAGCCATGCTTCGATTCCTTGTGCACTCACAACAATTTCCTAAAAGATTGCTCAGAGGCAGAGCAAAAAATTAGAGGCATTTTTGATTGTCCAGCCACCAAGAATCCAATAGATACGTCACCATCCGATTTATTCATTAAAACTGAAAACCTGGACAACGAATTCGATATTAACGAGATGGAGACGACAATCAAAACTGAATATGTCGACATAAAAACGGAAGATGAGGAAAAAAGGTAAGAGAAGACGACTGTAACATTAATAATTAAAAAATGGCGCAATATTAATGCATTTCATAAATTTGTGTTGCCAAAATGGAAACATCATCCCAGTGGAAGAAATCTGTTACTATGTCAGTTTATAAGATTGGTGATGAACAAATTGTAACAAATTTGAGGCTTACATTGATTATAAACAATGATGCAAATATTTTTGAACAATCATTAAAAGTTTGGTTAATAAATTACTTGGAAAAAGTATATACTATACGTTATATAGATTCTAAATCTAAATAAGAATAAAAAATGTCCAACATGTTTTTTTATTTTCAATCCATACATACAAACTAATGCTAAGTTTTAAANAGGTGTAATGACTGCAATTACAAAACTAATTACATGAGTTATATGAAAAAGCACGAACTGAAACATAAAGATCCTTCGCAGGTCAAAATGTACAAGTGTAACGACTGCGTATATGAAACTAAATACAAGAGAGTTTTCGAACGGCATCAACTGAAACACAAAGATCCTTCGCAGGTTCAAATGTACAAGTGTGACGACTGCAATTATGAAACTAAATACAAGAATAATATGAAACGGCACCAAATGAAACATAAGGATTTATTGCAGGTCTAAACATATAAGTATAATGACTGTGATTTGAACTCAAAGGAGCTGTATCATGTGTTGGAGCATAGAGGGCCTTCTCAAATGTAAATGTACGTATATAGGTACTATACATCATATAGATTCTAAATCTAAATAAGAATAAAAAATGTCCAACATGTTTTTTTATTTTCAATCCATACATATAAACTAAGGGTAAATTTTAAAATTCATCAATGGATAATGGACATCTATTAAAATTTCGATAAACATGTTTAAATTATGTATAGTTGCTCATCAAAATATGAACGTAATGATTTTAAATGACATTTTAGACTAATTAAGGAATATTGGGGTATGCACATTTTCTTATTGGGCACCTGTCCGTTGGTATAGTCTGTCTGATATCGTTTTCTTCTGAAAAAAAACTGTCCTAACCTTATCAACTCTTTCTTAGTTCGTATACCTGAAAATGAAAAATACAGTCTATCGTCTCTAAACCCTGAAATTAATAACTTTGTGGGATTATTACAATTATACTATACACAGAGACTTCACAAGCACCTCGTAAACTGATAATCTGAAAACTATAATTAAAAAAGGGCTTACAAAATTTTATTTCTGCAATAAGTTTCATAAATTCAGTGTTTTTCAAAACATATTTCTCCAATATATTTATCTATAGATGTTAAATAAAAAAAAATATATTTGCCGCTTTTGACCGAATGGCATTGTTAATTACAAATTTCCTTACACCAAAAAGTTGTTTGAGTTTCTTTATAGAAAATCTGCGTTAGAATGGAGGAAAGCCTGTTATTTATGCATTAATTCATATTTAGACAAACTGTGTAATAAAATCTATAAAAATGTATTGTCGGTTGCCTATGCCCTCTTAATTATTATCTTATGATAATGACATTGAAATAATGCCATGTGGAGTTGTGGAAACGTTTGGCATCACTTATAATCCCATAAAATTATAACCTCGTTTAGGAAAATAACTCTTATATGCAATTTTTTCAGCTACCCGCCACTGCAGAGCTCCTATAGCGAACCATTCGAGAAGAGTGACTGCGCAGATGCAGACGCGGCTGTATGTAAACATGAAAATAGATCTACGAACCAATATAATATGAAAATCAAGCTAGAGGGCAAAGTATTGTACCAATGTGATAAATGTATTTATGAAACTGAAAGCGAGAGGCTCTTTACGAGACACTGTGCGAAACACGAGAACTATTCGGAAGTGTGTAAAACTAAATCGTGTGAGTATGAAACTGGGAATAAGAAATTAGTTCAGAGGCACCAGTTCAGGCATGAAGGTTCTCCGGCAACATGTATGCACCAGAGTGAATCACGTAATTACAAGACAAAGTACAGGTCTAACCTTGTTAAACATCAGGTGAAACACAAAGCGCAGTTATACAAGTGCAACTCTTGCGATTTGAAAACGGAATGGAGAATCAGCTTTAATAGTCAGGGTATAAAACACAAAGACTCGAACAAAAGTGATGAGTACGATTCTTCGCAACTACTGATTTATAAATGCGAGACTTGCACCGACGAATCAAAGAATGAGAAATTTTTCATCAAATATCAGTTAGGTCCTAAAGCTCCTTTGCAAGTCCAAATGTATACGTGTAACAATTGCGATTATGAAGCTAAATGCAAGAGTCACATCAAACATCACCACCAACGGAAACATAAAGATCCCTTGCAGGTTAAAGTGTACAAGTGTAAGGACTGCGATTTTGAAACTAAATACAAACATACTTTCAAATGCCACGAACTGAAGCATAAAGATCTGTTGCAGGTGCAAATGTACGGGTGTGACAACTGCGACTACAAAGCTATATATAAGGGTTATATAAAACAGCACCAACTGAGACATAAAGATTCTTCAGAGGTTCAAATGTACAAGTGTGACAACTGCGACTACAAATCTAAATACAAAGGTAATATGAAGGAGCACCAACTGAAACATATACATTCCTCGCAGGTTCAAACGTACAGGTGTAATGACTGCAATTACAAAACTAATTACATGAGTTATATGAAAAAGCACGAACTGAAACATAAAGATCCTTCGCAGGTCAAAATGTACAAGTGTAACGACTGCGTATATGAAACTAAATACAAGAGAGTTTTCGAACGGCATCAACTGAAACACAAAGATCCTTCGCAGGTTCAAATGTACAAGTGTGACGACTGCAATTACGAAACTAAATACAAGAATAATATGAAACGGCACCAAATGAAACATAAGGATTTGTTGCAGGTCTAAACATATAGGTATAATGACTGTGATTATGAACTCAAAGGAGCTGTATCATGTGTTGGAGCATAGAGGGCCTTCTCAAATGCAAATGTACCTGTGTGATTTGCGAACTAAGCATAAGCCACAAATACGCACATGCATGTGTAAATATGAAGTAATTAAACAAAAATTAGCATGATCCTTTTAATAGAAAGCTGTTGAGAACTGCTGACTTCACTCTACTATTTACATTTTGGAAGATCAACTATACAGCGTTGCATCAGATCTTGGTAGCAGATAGAATGGTACTCCGTTTTATAAACGTATTTTAAAATTCGAACCGTTTTCGAGATGCAGGGTAGTAAATGTCCCCTAAAAACGTCATTTATTGTACGTCTCCTCTGAAATAATGCAGATATTTGAATTTAATTTGGTTTAGGTAATATTGGGTCAAATTTCCACAAAATACAGTAATATTGAGACTCTTGCGCACAAAATGGCGGAGATACTGCCATTAAGACAGTAAGAGGCTCGACACTATTGAATGAATATTTTATAAATTTGATAAATTAATTTGGTATCTAATTGAATTTACATTCCATTTTATTCAAATTTAAGTTTATCAGTTTTGAATCATTGTTTTTCTATCCAAAAAATTAATCAATTAATTTCGCAAAAAAAAAGAAAATGTATTGGAACTTTATGTTACAATACACTGTAACAATTAAATGTCTGGACAGTTCAGCGGCATAGAAATTTTCTCCTTACTACCTATTATAAAATTTAAAGTTGCAAACAATTTTAAAGTTAATTTCTTTTTAGTCCCCTGTACAATAAACCTTTTTTAGACTGAAGTATAATAACTCAAAAATCATTTGATTTTCGATTAAAACGGAGGTGATACGTTTGGTTCAATATAACCTACAGCGAATTTCGTTCATTGTAATATATCGGAGAATTTTGATTGTCAGAATTGCGAGAAACAACTACTACAAGGGCCTATCGGCATTGAATTATACTCGCAACACCTAGTACAACAGCTAGGGTCGTTCGTCAGTTTAACCCACCAGGCACAGACCGGTTTCGGACTTATTAGTCCTCATCAGTATGTCATAGGTGAGACAACCAACGAACAAACCAGCTGTTTTGCGTCATATCGTCACAAGGAAATACATTGTACTCGGGAGCACAAATAGCTCCATCTGTTGTGCTGACTCCTCTAGTAGTTGTTTCTCGCAACACTGACAATTAAAACATTGTCTTCGCCGTCTGTGGGTGACAGTCGTGCAACAAGTACCTGCAATATATATCGGAGGATGTTTACAGAAAATTAATTTTTTATTGGAGGCTTTTAACACACTATATCTTGAAAACAGTTGAGATTTTGCAGTAAGTTTGTGATAAAGTACCATTACTCTTAGCTGTTCTGTCCACTCTCATAGTTTGACAGATTAAAACTAGAGCACCCTGTATTATAACCCTCCATGTGGGCGGCAGTTTCCAAAATATTTGTATATGTAAACGGCAGTTCATTGAGAGCGTTCATGTGAGCTGAATCTGAACATGTTTTGAAAATTTTAAAACACTGCTAGCGTTCGTGTTAGAAGAGGAAAAATGTACAAGAAATAAAAGTACCGACCATCCGACGACGTTGAAATCTATACAACTATCCATCACGCAGCAGACGAGCACAGGAAAGATAAGCAAGACTTGCCGACCCTTAATGAGTTTACATTGTGAATTATACTCGCATTTGAAATATATCTGCACGTTTTAAATTCACCATGTATCCTACATATAATTTATGATTTTGATTACAACAATGCTTTTGGGTTCCACAAGTGAAAGAGCAATATATTGTATTAACACTTCCCTTGTCTAAGTAACATTATTCCCAATTGTATTTTATTAGTGTTATTTTAAGATCTAGAAGTAAGTTTAAATCCTACTTTAATTTTTTTTTGTTTTTATTGTGCGGTATTGTGTGTGTTATACAGAGTAAGTTTAACTGAAACAAATTCCGTAACTTAATAAATAAAAATTTGTAACAAAATTCCTGAATCACGTCAATTTTTATTTTCAAATTACAAAAAGGCTTGTTAATTTTTTTAATTATTTGGGAAGTTGAAGCAACCCCAAATTGTTTTTTAATAGAAGGGTAGATTGATTAATTTATTGTTTTAAAGCTTTTTCAATTTGCAAATAAAATTACGTATTTTTTTGTCACTTGTTTACCACAAAGTAACGAACATTACTGCAAGTCAAGAATCTGCATCTCGTTAATGATGTCATGTGCAGATAGGACCAAATTGAGCCAACTGGTAAGCACACCGCACACAATTTGTTGGGAAGGGAAGGGGTTGCATGGATCCCAACTTTTTTTAAGGTTGATTAATTTGTTGTAAAGCTTTTTCAATTGCAAATAAAATTATGTATTTTTTTTGTGACTTGTTTAACAAAAAGTAACGAACATTACTACAAAGTGGGGCCCTAAATTTCGAAAAACAATGAATATCTGCAACACTACCGCGGAAGAACCAAATTTGGTAGATGATTTAGGTTTATTACTTCTGTGACTATGATTTAAAGTTAATTGAAGGGACTCGCCCCTAAAATTGTTCAAAACTTTTTTTTTCATTGACCGAATTGAAAAATAGTAATATTAATTCACAGCAGAAATTAATTTTAATTTTCTTTTTACTCTTGTAAAATTTTAAAAAACTTTATGGTTTTCGAGAAAAACTGTATTAACTGACACAAGATTTTAACATTGTTCATTAGAAAATAATCAGAAAGTCAGTAGTAGGCAAAGAATTTATCTTTCAAACTTTTCAGTTGGTAATAAAATTATTTTATTTCAACAATTGCCTTTGATTGTTAAAAATGGTTGGAAAATTTACATTTAGTGAACAAGTTGATATGCTATTTGTGCTGGGTTTCTGCAAAGGAAACTGTAGAAGAAGTGTGGAAGAATATCGTAGGAGATTTCCTAATCCTGTGGCTCCTCGTAGAGATTTCTTTATTTTTTTCTTAAATTAAATTTTTCTGATTATACGCGTTACTACTTTTTAAATCTAATTTTTATAACTCGCCGCTGTTTCTAACAGTAATTGATTTATGTAGATACTTTACAACCCATTTTAAAGCGAATGCATCGTCACGAGGAAATACGAAGCAATATGGAAGCTTACCACTCGCCGCGCCAGAACGTCTCCGATAAAGAAATGTTTTTAGATATGTTAATACAAAAAAAGGACATTGTTTCTATGACAGAGTATTATTAATGTAGGGCAATGAGCTAACATTCGTGTCTAGTCTGGATAAATTGTAAATTGTAACAACTGGAGGCAAATACACTGCGAACAAATGAAATGATCTACGAATTATAATAATTATAAAATAGTATTAGTGTAAAATAAATAGAAGGAACTGTTACGAGAGCAACAACAGATCTATTTATTTTTTCAATTGTATATTATAACTTCTTTTTTTAACTTTTAACTTTTCAGAACAAGAATATCAGATGAAGAGAATTCCAGTAAATTGATACATTTTAGTGGTTAAACGAGTAATATCCAAATATATAAATAGAACTTACAAATCTTATCGCCCGTCTTCCAGGTTTCCAGATTTGAATTCATCGAATTTAAATAATTATAAATTGTAATTTTTGTATATTATCTTCCATTTTTATTATTTTAAGTACTGATGTAACAAAGAGGAATTCATATAACAATTTGGGATTTCGAAGTAAGTTTGTGACACGCGCCATTATTCCATGGCTAGAAATTGGCCTCAATAATTTGGGATCAAGGGGGATTATCCCTCTTTATCCTGTCTCATCTCGTGTACGCCTGGTGTAGGCGCTTTGTGGGACCTCCTTTTGTCCTGGCTGGGATCCGCCGGCTAGAGCTCTCTTCTGGTGCTCTTGCTTCGCCGGCTCGTTTGTATAAACCCCGGGAGTGGTGTCATGTTTATGTGTGGTATGGTTGGGTAGGGTAGTGCGGCTATGCAGCTTGGGACATTGTGACAAAGTACCATTATTCTTAGTTGCTCCAACCACCCGCAGTCTGAGATTAAAAATGCCTATGCTTAATCTGATTTTAAGAATAATCAACTAGACTTTACGTATTGTTATTCCGAGCGTAGAAGAAGAGGAAGAAGCTAGCTATTAGCTAAATAGCTATTTACGGTTTGACAGAGGTTTTAATTAAGGTTATGTTTTTTGACATCACACCACACATCACAATTTACTGAGTTTTCAAGAAAATTATTGCAATGAGTCGTCTTCAGTAAACTTTGTTTAGGCTTTGTCGTACAAACAGGTATAACCGATAAAAGTTTTGAAGTAATAGTCGACGCTACTAGAGACATTCAACACGTGTTTTTGTTGAAATTGGTAAGTTGATGAAATATATTACATTTTACTATCTCGACACCTGTAAAGCGATTTAACAATCTATTTTCAATTTTACTTGATTATTTTCTGTCAGAGTTATTTTCTTTCTGTTTAATTAAAATTGCATACATTTCAGAAGTTTGATGATGAGAGCAAAGAGGTTATATGTAATGGTTGCACTGGAAAATTAAATGCAGCGTTGGAATTTAGGTGAACTTGTCTGAATAACGATAAAACAATTATTCCACATGTGGATTGCAAGGGAATGTTAGAGCTAGATATAAGAGAAGTGTATGTGTAGGAAAAAGGAAGGTAGATAGATAGTCAGAAAATATGTCGATTGTGTTTGAACTTAGTGAAAAGTGAGTTTAAGTACATAAGTGAAGAGGAATTCGAAGCTATTGAGAGATTAGCTCCAGAAATGGTACGAACGATATTAAATATACTTGCATTTACCTCAATTTAAAAAAATCACTTTGCAGAATATAAATATCATCAGAGATCCCGTTGTATGTAAGCTTTGCTTCGATTCCTTGTGCACTCACAACACTTGTCTAAAAGATTGCTCAGAGGCGGAGCAACAAATTAGAGGTATTTTTGATAGTCTTGCAACCGAGCGTACAATAGATATGTCACAGTTCAATTTATTCATTAAAACTGAAAACCCGGACAACGAATTCGATATTAATGAGATGGAGACGACAATCAAAGCTGAATATGTCGACATAAAAACGGAAGATGAGGAAAGCAGGTAAGAGAAGACGACTGTAACATTAATTTAAAAAATGGCGCAATATTAATGCATTTTATTAATTTGTGTTACCAAAATGGGAACATCATCCCAGTGGAAGAAATCTGTTACTATGTCAGTTTATACGATCGGTGATGAACAAATTGCAACAAATTAGAGGCTTACATTGATTATAAACAATGATGCAAATATTTTTGAACAATCATTAAAAGTTTGGTTAATAAATTACTTGGAAAAAGTATATAGGTACTATACATCATATAGATTCTAAATCTAAATAAGAATAAAAAATGTCGAACATGGTTTTTTATTTTCAATCCATACATATAAACAAAGGAAAAGTTTTAAAATTCATCAATGGATAATGGACATCATATTTTGCTCGTCAAAATATGAACGTAATGATTTTAAATGACATTTTAGACTAACTAAGGAATATTGGGGTACGCACATTTTGTCATTGGGCACCTGTCCGTTGGTATAGTCCGTCTAGTATCGTCTTCTCCTGAAAAAAAAGCTGCCCTAACCGTATCAACTCTTTCTTGGTTTGTATATTTGAAAATGAAAAATACAGCCTACCATCTCTAAACCCTGAAATTAATAACTTTGTGGGATTATTACAATTATACTATACACAGAGACTTCACAAGCACCTCATAAACCGATAATCTGAAGACTAAAATTAAAAAAAAGGACTTACAAATTTTTATTTCTGCAGTATGTTTCATAAATTCAACGTTTTTTAAAACATATTATTATACACTGTCAATTTTAATCCCCCTGTCACCCAAATTATCTTTACTATTATGTCACCATATATCTAATATGTCATTACTTGTTGTATTTCAACTTAACTTCTACTAGATTTTATAATTAAAACTCTTACTTCAATTTCTACCTGTTACAATATACTTGTATTAGCCGTTTTTGAACAAGCGGCATTGTAAATTACAAATTTCTTTACACCAAACAGTTATTTGAGTTTCAAACTAAGTCCATTTTATAGAAAATCTGCTTTAGAATGGAGGAAAGCCTGTTATTTGTGCATTGATTCATATTTAGGCAAATTGTGTGACTGATTTTCTTGGCTCCAACCTAATTCCATAGTGGCAGAGCTAAACCAAGTGGTGCTCTAGTACATATTTGTATATGTATATATCACTTGACATAGCAACAAAAGTAATTTATATTTGCAGAAATTGGATAAATACCGCCACCCTATGCTTATATATTTTTTGCAGGTAACCTTATAATTTCAGATGTTATTTTTTTTCTTTCAAGTTTTTCTCTTTTATTTTTTCTTGTATATCTGAGAGTTTTCACATAATTATTTATTTACGATACAAATCCGACTTATTGAAATAATGCCTTGCAGTGTTCAGAAACGTATAATAACATTTGATATCACTCTTTAAAATTAAAACGTTGCTTTTGAAAATACCCTGTATATGCAATTTTTTTCAGGGACGTGCCGCTGCAGAGCTCCGATAATGAACCATCCGAGAAGAGTGGCTGTAAAGATGTAGAAGAGGATGGGTGTAAACATGGGAACGGATCAGAAAGGGATTCCGAGCAGGAGCTCAAAGTATTGTACAAATGCGATAAATGTATTTACGAAACTGAAAGCGAGACCTGTTTTGCGACACACTGTGTGGGACACGAGAACGATTCGGTAGTGTATAAATGTGATTCTTGTAAGTATGAAACTGGGAAAATGAGATTACTTCGGAAGCACCTGTTGGTGCATAAAGATCCTTCGCAGGTCCAGATGTACAGATGTAAAGACTGCGATTTTGAAACTAGATACAAGAATAATATCAAACAGCATCATCTGAAACACAAGGATCCTTCAGAGATTCAAATGTACAGGTGTAACGATTGCAATTATGAAACTAAATACAAGAAGGCTATAAAACTGCATCAACTAAAACATAAAGACCCTTTGCAAGTTCAAATGTACCGGTGTAACGACTGTGATTACGAAACTAAATACAAAGTGAATTTCAAACGCCACCAACTAAAGCATAAAGATCCTTTGCAAATTCAAATGTATAGGTGTAAGGACTGTGATTACGAAACTAAATACAGAATGAATATTAAACTCCACCAAGTAAAGCATAAAGGTTCTTCGCAGGTTCAGATGTACAGATGTAACGATTGTGGCTACGAAACTAAATACAAGAAAACTATCAAACAGCACCAACTGAAGCATAAAGATCCTTCGCAGGTTCAAATGTATAGGTGTGATGACTGTGATTACGAAACTAAATACAAGGATCATCTCAAGCGACACCAACTGAAACATAAAGATCCTTTGCAAGTTCAAATGTATAGGTGTAAGGACTGTAATTACAAAACTAAATACAGAAAGAATATCAAACAGCACCAACTGAAACATAAAGATCCTTCACAGGTCAAAATGCACAGGTGTAACGACTGCGATTATGAAACTAAATACAGGAGAGTTTTCAAACGGCACCAACTGAAACATAAAGATCCTTCTCAGGTTGAAATGTACAAGTGTAACGACTGTAATTACGAAACTAAATACAAGAATAATATGAATCGGCACCAACTGAAACATAAAAATCCTTCGCAGGTCAAAATGCACAGGTGTAACGACTGCGATTACGAAACTACATACAAGAGAGTTTTCGAACGGCATCAACTTAAACACAAAGATTCTCAGGTTCAAATGTACAAGTGTGACGACTGCAATTACGAAAGTAAATACAAGAATAATATGAAACGGCACCAACTGAAACATAAGGATTCCTTGCAGGTCTAAACATATAAGTAGAACGACTGTGATTATGAACCCAAAGGAGCTGTATCATGTGTTGGAGCATAGAGGGTCTTCTCAAATGTAAATGTACCAGTGTGATTTGCGAACTAAGCATAAGCCACAAATATGCACATGCATGTGTAAATATGAAGTAATTAAACAAAGATTAGCATGATTTTTTTAATAGAAAGCTGTTGAGAACTGCTGACTTCACTCCACTATTTACATTTTGGAAGATCAACTAAGCAGAGTTGCATCAGATTTTGGTAGCAGATAGAATGGTACTCCGTTTTATAAACGTATTTGAAAATTCCAAACGTTTTCGATCTTTTTTGATAAAAATAACCCGACTTCTGAAAACCCAGGTGCCGACCTTGTATGCGCCGTAGCGCAAAATCCTGACGATAGATTTTTTGTGCCCATTAGCTTTTTTGTAATATCGAGACTCGTGGGCACACAAAGGCAGAGATACTGCCATTAAGACAGTAAGAATTTCGAAACCATTGAATATTTTATAAGTTTGATAAATTAATTTGGTACCTAATTGCATTTCCATTCCAATTTATTCCAAAAATTAATCATTTTTGAATCATTGTTTTTTTTATCCCAAAAATGCTTATTATTATTACACAGTTAAATAAATCGAAAATGATTCTAAAATGATTAATTTCGTAAAAAAAGAAAATGTGTGGGAATTTTATATCAAATACACCGTAATAATTAAATGTTCAGTGAATTCAGCGGCATAGAAATTTTCTCCTTACTACCGATTAGAAAATTTTAAATTGCAGACAATTTTAAAGTCGATTTCTCTTTATTCGCCTCTACAATAAACCCCGTTTAGACTAAAGTATAATAACTCGAAAATTATTTGATTTTCGATTAAAGAGGAGGTGCTACGTTTGGCTCAATATACCGTACATCGAATTTCGTTCACTGTAATATATTGGAGGATGTTTACACAAAATTTATTTTTTTTTTGTGGGTTTTAACACACTATATGTTGAAAATAGTTGAGATTTTGCAGTAGCATCAGTTTCCAAAATATTTGTATATGTAAATGGCAGTTCATTCAGAGCGTTCATGTGAACTGAATCTGAACATGTTTTGAAAATTTTAAAACACTGCCAGCGTTCGTGTTAGAAGAGGAAAAATGTACAAGAGATAAAAGTACCGACCATCCGATTACGTTGAAATCTATACAACTATCCATCACGCAGAAGACAAGCACAGGAAAGATAAGCAAGACGTGTCTGCCCATTAATGAGTTTACATTGTGAATTATACCCGCTTTTGAAATATATCTGCACATTTAAGATTCGCCCTGCGTCCTACATACAGTTTATGATTTTGATCACAACAATGCTTTTGGGTTCCATGAGTGAAAGAGCTATATATTGTATTAACACTCCCTTCGCTAAGTAACATTCCCAATTGTATTTTATTAGTGTTATTTTAATATCTAGAACACATACTTCTATACATGTATCAAACACTGCATATGTGGTGGATTTATACACGTCTTACTCTGGTTGATTCATTTATTGAATATTTTCACAATCTAGATTCACATCGAACCAGGTATATTTTACATCATCAGCAAAACGGTGTCACCCGTAATTATAGTTTATACATTGGCAATATTTGCATGGAAACAAAGTCCAATACCATTATTACTGACACAACATTAAATTGACATAGTTATTAGAATTTGTATTTTGCAACAGGGTGATATACTTTAACAGTTACACATATCTTTTACATTAATGACCTTGATCCCAAAAAGAGGGGATAAAAAGTGTATATGTTACATTTTGTCAATTTTGCGCAAGCTCGNCTGACACAGCATTAAATTGACATAGTTATTAGAATTTGTATTTTGCAACAGGGTGATATACTTTAACAGTTACACATATCTTTTACATTAATGACCTTGATCCCAAAAAGAGGGGATAAAAAGTGTATATGTTACATTTTGTCAATTTTGCGCAAGCTTGAAAATTTACGAATTATTTCAAATGAAATTTAATAACTGATGTAGTTACTATTAACAAAGCAAAATTACCAATTGTTATTTTCTATATCTAATTATACAACTTGTTAGTTGTAATTTATGAAAATATTAGAAGTGATTGTAAAATAAATTGGGTATAATAAAACGGAATACAGAAGAGAAGAATTATTATTTATTTATATAAAATTTTTTGAAATTTAAAAACAATACTTCACAAAAATTCATATAAAAATACACATTATGTACAAATATACATAAAAATGATAACGAGTTATCTACCTTAACTAATACTTATATATAAATAATAATAAAAATAAATCATATCAATCATATTAACCTTAGTGTTTCGTGATTCTTATATATTATTCGTTTATCAACATACAATAGGTTGAGGTTACATGTTTACACTGTGTACTGAAATAGGGAATGTGGTCTCCCCTTTATTTATTATTATGAGAATGCCCCCTGGGTTTTGACGGTGTACTAGTGTCAGTCGCTACCCAAGGATATTTATAATACATAAATATTCTTAGTCGCTACCTCAGAGTAATAAGTAAAGGGGAGGAGACATGTAACCTCAACCTATTGTATGTTGATAAACAAATGATACATAAGTAAACACAATGGCCCCTGGTACATTTGCTTACCGAGTTTAGGTTTAAAATCTATCATAATATAAGGAAACCATAAAAATTATACTTTTTAATAGAATAAAATCAGAAGTGCTCGATTACTTAAGCTTTCATGTGTAATAAATAGACAATAAATAGGAAAAAGTTTCTTCAAAATCTATAATTAATATTTTAAAAACATTTCCAGAACAAAAGGGTGACTAAAGAAAACTCCTCGATTGAAACTATCATTATACTATAGCTATAGCAATGTCATTGCCTGCTATCAGTTCTATTATTTCATAGTAGTTCTCAATTACTGGAGGAACTACATTTATTAAAATAAATAATTTAAATAAAACTACAAGAAAAGGAGCAAAAATATATTTCATTGAAATCTGCTGGAATATAAACAATGCAAAGAAAACAAAACATATTTGTATTAAAAGTAACGGAAAAATGAATTTACTACATTGAACAACATTTAATCGTATGGGAAAATAAGCACGTTTTAAATGTACGCAACAAAAATAAACTGGATTTTGAGCTCATAGCATTGACAGCTCGTCTCTTATGGAACAGGGACAACATGTGGTTGAAGATGTTTTATAGCAACATCTATAAAATTTCCTTCACTGGCAATTTCTCTAAGGGGGAATCTTTGAGACGGCACAACCATGTCATGTTGTATTAATAGGGACAGCTCCATGTGTGAGACATCGTTTTCCAGTTACTGTTTCCTTAATATCTGTAGCACAGAAATGCTTCGACAGACATAATTATCTTTTGAAAAATCATATTCAGATATGGCGAAATTTTCTAGCCACACTGCTCGTATCGCAGGATCTTATGGTATTCTGCAAATAAACAGAGCTAGTGTCGGTATCAAAATACAAACATAATAAATTAACAAATAAAATACTTAGAACGCCCATGGAAACAATGTCAAACTTACTTGTGAAAAGAAGTAGCACATATTTGGCTCTTTTCCTGTAATTGTCGGCATATTATACACCGCTTTGACATTTTTATTGAAATTAAATAGGAAAACTCAGTTTAAAAAGACACAAAACACTGAACTCGGCTAATATCTATTTCACAACAATAGTCTGTAATAATGGCGTCCCCTTTAGGACCGTTTAATACCAGGCAATGATGCCACTTACGGCGTTTGTATTGCTAGGAATTTCAATAATGTATTTTTTTTTCAGATATTCAAAATCTATAATTATAAAACAAGTTGCAAGAAAATAGTGTTGTAGTCTTATGCATATTACAATGTAACTAATTTGTAAGTCGAGGTCAAGAATGAGGTAGATCCTTGTACGATAATCAATTAAAATGACCGCTGTACCTAATTATAAAGATAAAAATGTAACATTGGCATCAATGTCAAAGACGTCACAAGTACCAATGTTTGTAAATACACATATGTCAACACTTCACTATCGAATGTAAATAAAGGCGTCCCCTTTATTTATTAGTCTGAGGTCGCTACCATTGTTGTTCTTCCCAGATTAGAAGAGGAAGAAGATCAAAAACTTTCTCGATTTGATATGTGGATTTGACGTACAAATTAAGGTTATATTCAAAATAAATCACAATTCAAGGCATTATATTTACATTTTAAAGAAAGTTATTGCAATGAGTGGTGTCCAAGGAACTTTGTGTAAGCTTTGTCTTAAAACTATAACCGATAAACGTTTTGAAATAATAGACAACGCTATTAGAGACATTCTACATGTTCTGTTGCTGAAATTGGTACGTCGGTGGATTATACTTAGATTAGATCTTAACATTTTCAAGTGTACAGCAATTTTTAGTATTTAATTATTATTTTCCGCAACAGTTATTTTCTTTCTGATTAAAGTTTCATATATTTCAGGAATTTGATAGCGATAGCAAAAAGGTTATATGTAATGTTTGCAGAACAAAGTTAAATACGGCTTTAGAATTTAAGACAATGTGTCTGAATACCGATAGCACAGTTATTCCATATGTGGATAGCAAAACAGTGTTACAGCTAGACTTAAGAGATGTGTACATGCAGGAAAAGAAAAGCGAGTTAGTTTGCAGTCAGAAAATATGTCGATTGTGTATGCAGCCAGTAGAAAGTGAGTTTAAGTGCATACGTGAAGAGGAACTTGAAGCTATTGAGAAATTGGCCCCTGAAATGGTATCAAGGATATTAAATATTTGCATTTTTTTAAATTTAAAAAATTGTACTTTGCAGATTATAAACATCGTCAAAGATCCCATTGTATGTAAACCGTGCTTTAATTCTCTGTGCACTCATAACGGTTTCCTAAAAGATTGCTTAGAGGGTGAAGAAAAAATTAAAAGTAGTTTTGATAGTGCAGCCACAGAAAGTCAAATAGATACGACTCCACGCGATTTATTTGCTAAGACCGAAAACCTGGTCAAAGAATTCGATATTAATGAGATGGAAATGTCAATCAAAACTGAATGTGTTGACATAAAATCGGAGGATGAGGAAAGGAGGTAAGAGAAGACTATTTTAACATCAATTTAAAACACCATAGCATGTGGTGCTGGTGGTAAACTAATCCCGACAAATTATGAGATTATGCCGCTTATAAACGATATCGTACAAATTTTTAAACAGTCGTTAAGAGTAGGGTACCAAATTATTAGGAAAAAATATAAAATCACTACAAAACATTCAGTGTGGCCTTAAATCAGATAGGGTATAAAGAATGCCGTACTAGATTTCATTTATTCGTTAAATTTTTTAACTGGTCAGAAACCAAAATTTTCTTGAACGAAAAGCATTAATTATAAGCTAGAGAACTTGGTAAATATACGGGATTTGAGGAAAAAAACAACTGATTGGGGGTATGCAACTTTTTGCAAGAGACCTTTGACTTACAGATCAAAGATGCCTCGTTAAAATTAGAAACTGTGGTGTAACTTTAAATAATACATACTAGTCGTGAAAGCATTAAAACCACTATAACTAATAGACTTGTCATACCAAAATGTCACAACTGTATAATCTGAAATTATTATTAAACGAAAAGAAATTCTTTGTCTTATTGCTTGCAAATGAATATGTTCTTATTAGTCTATTTGAAGAGCAAGAATATTATTTCACTATAACAAAAATGAAATAATGCCTTTTGGAGTGCGGAAACCTATAATTGAATGTTTTTTGTTGTAACACATGATTCAATCAAGTCTAAGAATGACGATAGATGACAACATGCACTGATTTGTTTCGGTAGAGAGTGATTTTCTGTGAAGCATAATATTTTGGTATGTTTCACATACAGGGTGTCCGGAAATTCATGCAACAAAATTTGGTCACAGATTCTTAAGACAAATTTAGGGTACCCGTAATTTTTATTTTTGCCAAGTGGCCCCCTCTTTCGGAGTTACAGCCCCCTGAAGTACGCCCCTAAGAATAATCTTTTTTTTATATCAGAACTCTGTTGTACCAGAATCAGTAAATTTGGTACACAGGGGTTTTATGACATGTGGAATCTGATGGTGCTACGTTTTTTGGCGAGGAACCCCCTTAAGACAATTTTTCGTGGACCCCTTTGTCTTTGGAGCCAAAAAAATTTGGTCGCATATTTAAATTTCTTAAAAATTATCTGTCCACTAGAAAGCCATTAAATTTAAAAACTTTTTGTCTCTATACTTTTTTCGGAAAACATAATGTTTTCGAGAAAAATACCAAAATGTGATCGAATGCATATCGTGATTCACCATTTTCCTCAAAAACATTGCGTTTTACAAAACAAATATCAAGAGACAAAAAAGTTTCTAAATTCAATGGCTTTCTAGCTAACTATTAATTAAGAAAAGCAAATTTGCCAACGAATTTTTCTGGTTCCAAAGACAAGGGAGCCCATGAAAAAGTATCTTAAGGGTGTTTCTCGCCAAAAAGCGTAGCATTGTGAGATTCCACATCATGTCATAAAACCCCTGTGTACCAAATTTAGTGATTCTCGTACAATATGGTTTTGAGATTTAAAAAAGACATCTTTGGGGCAGATTTCAGGGGGTTGTAACACCGAAAGAGGGGGCCACTTGGCAATAATAAAAAATACGGGTCCCCTAAATTTGTCTTAAGAATCTACGAAAAAATTTTGTAGCATGAATTTCGGGACACCCTGTATAATCCCTTAAAATTGAAACCTGATTTTCAAAGATAATTTGTATATCCAATTCTTTTAGGGATTTACCACTGCAGACCTCCAATATTGAACCATTCGAGGAGAGTGACTGTAAAGATGCAAAATGTCAAGTGAAACACAAAGCAGAATTCTACAAGTGCAAGTTTTGTGATTTTGAAACAAAGCAGAGGACCATCTTTAATAGTCATTGTATAAAACACATAGACACAGACAAATGTGAAGAGGTTGATTATAAAACCATGTACAAAGCAGTGATGCATGAGGATGCTACGCAGTTGCCGATTTATAAATTCAAAGTTTTCGACTACAAATCAAAGAAAAATATACTTCTTATCTGTCGCCAGTTAACACATAAGGATCCCTCACAGGTTAAAATGTACAGGTGTAACGACTGTGATTATGAAACTAAGTACAAGTGTGCCTTCAAACTGCACCGACTTAAGCATAAAGATCCTTTGCAAGTTCACATGTATAAGTGTAACGACTGCAATTTCGAAACTATGTACAAGCAAAATGTCACACAGCACCAATTGATACATAAAGATCATTTGCAGGTCAAAATGTACAAGTGTAACGATTGCGATTTTGAAACTAAGTACAAGCAAAGTATCACCCAGCACCAATTGATACATAAAGATCATTTGCAGGTCAAAATGTACAAGTGTAACGATTGCGATTTTGAAACTAAGTACAAGCAAAGTATCACCCAGCACCAATTGATACATAAAGATCATTTGCAGGTCAAAATGTACAAGTGTAACGATTGCGATTTTGAAACTAAACACAAGTATAATATGAAAGGACATCAACTGAAACATAAAGATACTTCTCAGGTACAAATGTACAAGTGTAACAACTGCAATTTCGAAAGTAAATACAAGAAAGCTACCATAAGGCACCAACTGAAACATAAAGATCTTTTGCAAGTTCAAAAGTACAGGTGTAACGATTGTAATTATGGAACCAAATACAAGAGTAATATCGAATCGCACCAACTGACACATAAAGATCCTTCCCAAGCTAAAATATACAGGTGTAACGACTGCGTTTACGAAACTATAAACAGGAGTTATATCAGGAAGCACCAACTGAAACACAGAGATCCTTCACAGATTAAAATGTACAGGTGTAACGAATGTGATTACAAAAGTATATACAAACTTTGTCTGACACAGCATCAACTGAAACATAAAGATCCTTCACAGATTAAAATGTACAGGTGCAACGAATGCGATTACGAAAGTAAATACAAAAACAATATCAGTCGTCACATGCTGAAGCATAGAAAACGTTCTTAAATGCAACCGTACCGGTGTTAGATTCACTCTGCATTCTACTTATATTTGATAATTTTCATTTAATTCTTATTAGTTTGTGTAGATATAGGGTCACTGTTGCAAGAGATGACAAGGAACAGTGTTGTTAACATTGCTGCCTTGTCTAAGTGACGTTTTTCTCTACTCTATTTGTTAGTGTCCTAGGAATAAGTTTTAAACTCTATTATGCAACATTATATTATTTGTAGATTTAAATGAATTAAATAAAATTAACTACAGTTCGTACAATATATGTTGGGATAGAATTCCAAAATAAGAATAAGCCAAAAAAGTTATGTTGTCGGAACTACTGTAACAATTTGTAACAACAAAGTGTTAGTAGGCACTGATTTTGTAGGTACCTGACAATTCTTAGTGAGTGTTTACGAAGATGAGATATACCGCCTGTTACTTCATTTTTTGATATGGATACACATACGACGAATTAGAATTATTTATAATGTGCCTAATTTTATTCAAAAAATCAGAAAAAACAATCAAATACAACGCATTGATAGCATTATTATTGACCCTGTTATTCTACCCAATAGACTGAATGGGGAATTTTGTTTAGAATTTTTGCAAAACACTTTACCCGAGTTATTGGGAGGTGTGCCGTTATTACTCAGAGCTAACATGTGGTTTATGAATGATGGAGCTCCACCACATTTCACTGTAAATGTCCGGCAGTATCCGAACCAAAGATTTCCTCGTCGATGGATCGGTAGAGGGGATAATGTTCCTGTTAACTGGCCTGTTTGTTTACCAGACAACACCTTGCGACTATTATCTCTGCGGTACTTTGAAAACAGCAGCGTATGCTTCCACATCTAATTCTGAAGAAGAGTTGTGGAGGCATATCTAAATTGCCATAAATGTTTTAAAAAATTAACCTTTGTTGTAGAAACAACAGTGGTCATTTTGTTTTTATAATAAGTTGTACTAAATCTAATAACATCAACTTTGTTACTTTTATCTCCAGCATTTTTTATTGTATTTGATTGTTTTTACTAATTATCTCAATAAAATTAGGCACTCATTAAGAATTGGCTATATAATAGCTATTCACCGTTATTTTTCTTATTAACAATAATTTGTTTACGTGCAGTGTAAAATTTTGTTACTTACATATTGTTTCTTGTGTTTTATAACAAGTTGATATAAGTTGTAATGATATCTATTGAAAAATCAGTAGCTGGAGAAATAACAAACTTTAATGTGAAAGTAAATGGAAGGTTTATTTTGGATAAAAGCAGAAGAATGGACTTTCACTATAAAAAATAATGTTGAGTACATTTTCCCTGTATTTCAATAGTCCATCCGCCCTCTCTGGTATGGAAGTTAAGAGCCCGCCACTGGCTTTAAACCAAAAAAGTTTTTCTGTGGCAAGAACTTTGGGGTGATGTGAAAAAAAAATTCTGAGCAATTTCAAGAATAATTATAACTTTCAAAACTGAGAGTCTGGCGGTTTTTGTAAGTTACTCTTCAGTTCCGAGAAATCTATCGAAGGCGAGGATTTTCTTGCATTTAATTTCGTGTAGATAAATATGTTACTAAAAGTTATTGTGAAAATAATTGCATTGTCTCCGATTATTAGCAGCTGTTATGATTATTCGCTTCGAATTTACGATATTTTATAGCTTGATAAAAGCTCTAAACACGTAAAAACCAAAAAGAAAATCATTTTTGCAATATTAGTTTTGGTTTTCGAGATATCAGTTTAGAGAAAATGTATAGCTCGAAGCTCCAAGTAGATTCTTTTCTGTTCTATGGGTCTATGAGTCGCAATTTTTTTTATAGTAAAAAAACGCCTCTTCAAAAAGAGNCCCACAAATAAAAAAAAAACACAAAAACACAAACACACACACACACGACACAAAACACTACACAAACACACAGACAGCCTCTCCTACCCACCCCAAACAACCCCGGGACGCACATACGCTGACATGACCAGAAAAAAACAAAAACAAAAACACAACACCTCACCACACGCACACACAGACACGACACTGCGTCCAGCTGACGACCATGGTGTCGAATATGCAAAAATTATTCGACTTCTAATGGCTCGTCGGCCCTCCCAACCCTCCTGAGAATAATGGCGCGCGCGTAATGCAATCGTTTGCTTATTCGACATTCTCGCAAACGCGGAACGCAGCCGTAAAAAACGTATAAAGAACGCTGAATGCGCCCTATTCGTCTAGTGCTAGTGCAATGAGTTGTAATGAAGTATGCGGCCACAGAATATGTATATACTGTGGTATGGCTTTCACTTGCGTATGCCACAGATTTAATTTTGTGGTTATGTGAATGTGATTGTTTCTTTTATGACCAGGGAGACTAGATAAGGAGCACGAACTCATACGGAAAAATTGACAAAATTTGTCCGCGCCGCGCCATTATTCCAGGGCTAGAAATTGGCCTCAATGATTTGGGATCGAGGGGGATTATCCCTCTTTATCCTGCCTCATCTCGTGTAGGCCTGGACAGCCTTCGTAGGTGGGCCCCATCCGTCGTCTACCCCGACCGCAAATGCGGCCGGTGTAGGGCAATACCCCTAAGATGTTGACAGTGTACTAGCGTCAGTCGCTACCATTCTTGTTCTTCCCAGATTAGAAGAGGAAGAAGATCAAAAACTTTCTCGATTTGACGAAACAATTAAGGTTACATTAAAAATAAATCGTAAATCACGGTATTATATTATATTATATATGTTAAAGAAAATTATTGCAATGAGTGGTGTTCAAGGAACTTTGTGTAAGCTTTGTCTTAAAACTATAACCGATAAACGTTTTGAAATAATAGACAACGCTATTAGAGATATTCTACATGTTCTGTTGCTGAAATTGGTACGTCGGTGGAATATAATTAGATTAGATCTTAACATTTTCAAGTGTAAAGCAATTTTTAGTATTTAAGTATTATTTTCCACAACAGTTATTTTATTTTTTATTAAAGTTGCATATATTTCAGGAATTTGATAGCAATAACAAAGAGGTTATATGTAACGTTTGCAGAACAAAGTTAAATACTGCATCAGAATTTAAGACAATGTGTCTGAATACTGATAGCACAGTTATTCCATATGTGGATAGCAAAACAGTGCTACAGCTCGATTTAAGAGAAGTGTATATGCAGGAAAAGAAAAGTGAGTTAGTTTGCAATCAGAAAATATGTCGATTGTGTATGCAGCCAGTAGAAAGTGAGTTTAAGTGCATACGTGAAGAGGAACTTGAAGCTATTGAGAAATTGGCCCCTGAAATGGTATCAAGGATATTAAATATTTGCATTTTTTTAAATTTAAAAAATTGTACTTTACAGATTATAAACATCGTCAAAGATCCCATTGTATGTAAGCCTTGTTTTAATTCTCTGTGCACTCATAACGGTTTCCTAAAAGATTGCTTAGAGGGTGAAGAAAAAATTAAAAGTAGTTTTGATAGTGCAGCCACAGAAAGTCAAATAGATACGACTCCACTCGATTTATTTGCTAAGACAGAAAACCTGGTCAAAGAATTCGATATTAATGAGATGGAAATGTCAATCAAAACTGAATGTGTTGACATAAAATCGGAGGATGAGGAAAGGAGGTAAGAGAAGACTATTTTAACATTAATTTAAAACACCATGGTAGCATGAGGTTCTGGTGGTAAACTAATCCCGACAAATTATGAGATTATGGCGGTTATAAACGATATCGTACAAATTTTTAAACAATCATTAAGTGTAGGGTATTAAAATATTAGGAAAAAATATAATATCATTACACAATATTCAGTATGGCTTTAAATCAGATACGGGTGTAAAGAATGCTGTACTAGATTTAATTTATTTGTTAAATTTTTAAACTTCGATCAGAAAGCAAAATTTTTTTGAACAAAAAGCATTAATTATAAGCTAGAGAACTGGGTAAGTATATGGGATTTGAAGAAGAAACATGACTGATTGGGGGGGTATGCAACTTTTTGTGCTGGTCGTGAAAGCATTATAACCATTATAACTAATAGACTTGTCATACCAAAATGTTACACCTGTATAATCTGGAATTATTATTAATAAAATGTCCAAAACGAAATTCTTTGTTTTATTGCTTGCAAATGAATACCCTCTTTTTACACTATTTGAAGAGCAAGAATATTATTTCACTATAATAAAAATGAAATAATGTCTCTTGGAGTTCAGAAACCTATATTTGAATGTTTTTTCGTGAAAATGATTGGAATTTGCAATGTTTTATAGTAACACATAATTCAAACAACTCTAAAAGCGAGGACAATAGATAGAAATGACAAGCACTGATTTTGTTTTGGTACGGTAGTACAAATGTGTTAATTACAGATCTGGCCTCTTACGTCTCATTAATTTCCAATGTAAATATCTGTTTTTATAAAACTTCATTAAGAGTGATTTTCTGTGAAACATAATATTTTGGTATGTTTCACATATAATCCCTTAAAATTAAAACCTGATTTTCAAAAATAATTTGTATATGCAATTTTTTTAGGGATTTACCACTGCAGACCTCCAATATTGAACCATTTGAGGAGAGTGACTGCAAAGATGCAAAAGAGGATGGATGTAAACATGAGAATGGATCAGCGAACGAATGTCAAGAGAAACACAAAGCACAATTGTACAAGTGCAAGTTTTGTGATTTCGAAACAAAGCAGAGGACCAGCTTTAATAGTCATTGTATAAAGCACAAAGACACAAACAAATGTGATAAGGGCGATTATAAAACCACGCACAATGCAGTGACGCATAAGGATGCTACACAGCTGCCGATTTATAAATGCAAAATTTGCAACTACAAATCAAAGAAAAAGATACTTCTTATCAATCACCAGTTGGCACATAAGGATCCCTCACAGGTCAAAATGTACAGGTGTAACGACTGTGACTATGAAACTAAGTACAAGTGTGTCATCAAACTGCACCAACTGAAACATAAAGATCCTTCTCAAGTTCAAATGTACAGGTGTAATGACTGCCATTACGAAACTATATACAAGATGAATATCATAAAGCACCAACTGAAACATAAAGATCCTTCACAGGTTCAAATGTACAGGTGTAACAATTGCGATTACGAAAGTAAATACAAGAATGCTATTAAAATGCACCAACTGAAACATAAAGATTCTTCACAGGTTGAAATGTACAGGTGTAACGACTGTGATTTTAAAACAAAATATAGGAGTCATTTCAAAAAGCACCAACTGAAACATAAAGATCCTTCACCGGTACAAAAAATGTATAAGTGTAACGACTGCGATTACGAAACTAAATACAGGAGTAGTATAATACTACACCTACTGAAACATAAAGAGCCTTTGCAAGTTCAAAAGTACAGGTGTAACGATTGTAATTATGGAACCAAATACAAGAGTAATATGGAATCACACCAACTGACACATAAAGATCCGTCCCAAGCTAAAATATACAGATGTAACGACTGCGTTTATGAAACTATAAACAGGAGTTATATCAGAAAGCACCAACTGAAACATAAAGATCCTTTGCAAGTTCGCATGTATAAGTGTAACAACTGTACATATGAAACAAGATATAGAAATGTTATCAAAATTCACCAACTGAAACATAACAAGAAACAAATGTATAGGTGTAGCAACTGTGATTATGAAAGCAAATATAGGAGCCACATTAAACGTCACATGTTGAACCATAAAGAACCTTCGCAAGTGCAGACTTTCAGATGCAACGTTTGTGATTATGAATCGAATCATAAACCCAGTTTCACTAAGCATATTTTGGGGCACAAGAAGAAGTGCGACCGTGCTAAGCGTCAGGTGAAACACAAAAGTGCATTGTACAAATGTAACTTTTGTGATTTCAAAACAAAGTGGAGGGGCAGCTTTAATCGCCATGATAAAAGACACAAAGACGCAAATAAATGGGACGCTCCACAACTGACACATAAAGATCCTTTGCAGGCTCAAATGTACAAGTGTAACGACTGCAATTTCGAAACTAAGTACAAACAAAGTATCACACAGCACCAACTGAAACACAAAGATCCTTCGCAGGTCAAAATGTACAAGTGTAACAATTGCGATTATGAAACTAGAGACAAGTGTAATATCATAAAGCACCAACTGAAACATAAAGATCCTTCTCAGGTACAAATGTACAAGTGTAACAACTGCAATTACGAAAGTAAATACAAGAACGCTATCATAAGGCACCAACTGCAACATAACGATCTTTTGCAAAATCAAAAGTACAGGTGTAACGATTGTAATTATGGAACCAAATACAAGAGTAATATCAAATCACACCAACTGACACATAAAGACCCTTCTCGAGTTAAAACATACAGATGTAAAGACTGCAATTACGAAACTATAAACAGGAGTTATATCAGAATGCACGAAAGGAAACATAAAAATCCATTGCAAGTTCACATGTATAAGTGTAACAACTGCACTTTTGAAAGTAGATATAGCAATGTTATCAAAAAGCACCAACTGAAACATAAAGATTCTTCGTAGGTTCGAACATACAGGTATGACTGTGACTGTGAATCCAAATTCGAGAACTGTATTAAATATCATGTGTTGTAGAATAGAAAACCTTCTTAAATGCAAATGTATTTGTGTTTTAAGCAGACTTAATTGGTAAACCAAAAAGCGTTGGCAAGTATAATTTACTGCTCACTGAAGTTAAAAGTGCAGGGTGTAATTTTGAGTGTGGGTCATATTTATACAGAGGCTTCCTTTGACCTTTAGAAACACGTGTCAAGAGTTAATTTTTTCAAATTTCATTGTAAAAACTTAATTTGTTTATTAACCTCGCTTTAGTAATTTTTTGTACGCGCTTTAGTCGCAATGCATACACAATTCGACACCATTAGCCGCGAATTACTTTTGTTGAATGGGTGTTCGCCACATTAACAGTACTTAACAAGTAACTTAGCAAAAAACTCAAGCGGTAATCAATAATAATAAATGAAATACACAAAAATAAATAGTCCGTTGATGGCTGTCAGCGATGCAAAACATTCAAATTTACAGATGTACTGTCTCCAAGTGCGGAACAACTGGCACCCTTCGCTTTGGTCACGGTTTACCGGCACTATCTCCCTTGCACATGCATTGTAGATTGCCTACAATTCATGTATTTGTAATACGTGAATATTTCAGTGGCGTACACAAGTATTAAAGTGCATTTTAAAAAACTAGTTATAACTCGAAAGAATTACAGATTTGTATTCAGGGGAACACCTACTATTATCCCTAAAAAACTGATCCCCACTTAAAGTTGCACCGTGTTTGGTCAAAGATGGATGTATTTGAAAGTTAGCGGTGTGAATATGACAACGACCCTACACATGTGGAAGTGAAGTAAAATAAAACGCCTGCCTTCAAATGTGTACTGTTTCTCACAATGTAACATGTGCTGATTGACGAACGGTTTATAATTTAAACACCTTATATTATTTTAAATGTTTATATATTTTTTAAAAAGTTATATTCTTTACTGTGTAGACCTTATAAGTAATCAAAAAATACAAGTTAAAATAAAGGTGCATGATTTTTTTAAATAGAAAGCTGTTGAGAACTGCTGGTTTCGCTGTGTATTTACCCGGTGGAAGAACAATCATCCAGTGTTCCTGGTAATACATACAGGGGTTCCAAGTTTTAATCCATCAGTATTAGGTGGTGGATAGAACAACCAAAAAATATGTCTTCTACTTTATACGAAATTCAATTCGTTTTTTAATTATTATTTTTTTTTATCTTAAATGAAGCCTGTCACAAATTTGAACAAATCGAAAATGATTCTAAAACTGATCCCAAAAAGCCCAATATAACCCACACCCAATTTAATTCAAACATCTTTATTATTTCCGAGGATATTTACTGTAATTTAATTTTTTAGTGAAATTTTAACACCCTATTTCTCAAAAACAGATTCGAAGAGAGTTGATTAGATAACGTTTTTAAAGTGTGATAGGTTAAAACTGGGACGTCTTTTATTACCCCATCCCTATACAAGCAAGAAGAGCGCCAGAAGAAAGGGCCCTAGCCGGCGGGGCCCAGCCAGGACAAAAGGAGGTCCCACAAAGCGCCTACACCGGCCGCATTTGCGGTCGGGGTAGACGACGGATGGGGCCCACCTACGAAGGCTGTCCAGGCCTACACGAGATGAGGCAGGATAAAGAGGGATAATCCCCCTCGATCCCAAATCATTGAGGCCAACTTCTAGCCATGGAATAATGGCGCATCCCGATACTATAAGTTTTTAAACTGAACCTGGAATAAGATAAGATCAACCTGAACAAAATCAAGATGCGAGTGGTACCACTCTCTGTTCTATCATTTCGCCTTTGGTGTAGTGCACTATCTACACATTTTACCTTCGAGTGTAACGTAGTGCAGATGAAAGGAAAATACCTATAATTTATGTAGATATACACTACACAACAAAAGCCATTTTCTAAACAAGTGAATTGGACTAATTGGAATTGTGTGCAAAATAATTCTTGCAGCAACACTCATTCTTTATTCGTCATCTTACTGTATTTTAAATAGTTGTCATCATTTTTATCGTTCCCGGGATAGAAGAGGAGGAAGAACATAAACTTTTTTCATCTATGTGCTAATTGAGGTTAGAATAAATAGAGCACGACGACTACGACTAGTGGTTTGTTAATTATGTTTCAAAGAAAAATGTTGTAATGACTGGTGTTCCAGAAGCTTTGTGTAGGCTTTGCCTTAAAACCATAACCGATAAAGGTTTTGAAGTAATAAACAATGTTACTAAAGGCATTCTAGATGTTCTTTTGCTGAAATTGGTAAGTCCGTGAAAGATGTTAGTTTTTACTTTCTCAATTCGTACAGTTTTGAATAATTTCAACACGTGTATAGTAACGTAGCAGTACTACATTTGTATTTTTAGTTAGTTATTTTCTCCACATTAATGTTCTTCCTGTTTGATTAAAGTTGCATGCATTTCAGAAATTTGATGGCGAGAGCAAAGAGGTTATATGTAATGCTTGCAGAAGAAAACTATATGCAGCATCAGAATTTAGGTCAGCATGTCAGAATACTGATAACAGTATTATTCCGTATGCGGATAGCGGAAAAATGTTACAGCTCGATATGAGAGAAGTGTACATGAAGGAAAAGAGATGTGACTCAATTTCAGATAGTCAGAAAATATGTCGATTGTGTATGCAGCCAACAGAAAATGAGGTTAGGTGCATACGCGAAGAGGAACTTGAAGCTATTCAGAAACTGACTCCTGAAATGGTAAGAATGGCATTAAATACTTATATTTTTTTGCAATTTAAAAAAAAACTACTTTCCAGAAAATAAATATCATCAAAGATCCTGTCGTGTGTAAACTATGTTTTGATTCTTTGTGTACCCACAACAGTTTCCTAAAAAGTTGCTTAGAACTGGAGGAAGCAATTAAAGGCGTCTATGAGAGTTCAGCCATAGAAAGTCAAATTGAAACGTCACCATCTGATTTTTTCGTTAAGATTGAAAACCAGGACAGTGAATTCGATATTAGCGAGATGGAACTGTCGATCAAAACTGAATGTGTCGACATAAAATCTGAAGATGAGGAAAGAAGGTAAGAGGAGACTACTTTTATATTAATTTAACCTTTAAGTCAGTGGCGGCTCCTCGGGGTGGGCAGGGTGGGCAGTACCCACCCTGAAATTTTCAGAAGAATAAACAAAAATTTGTGTATATATTTATCAAAGTGATTTGACAATTCTTATAAAATTAAATCTCCTTTGAAACTCCCCCTACCAAATTTTAAAATTATATTTTAATCATGATCTCGGCAGCAACCAACATAACATTCGGGCTAGCCCGTGGCCGCTGAATTAAACAACGCCGTACCCCAACCATACCTTGCATGCTTATACGCACCTAGGACTAGACAGTAATCGGAAACGTAAGTCCATCACTAATTTAGAATATTTGGCCCAAGTCGGGCGAGCCCGCACACCGCACACAGCTCGCATATACCCATTGAGCACCCATCGAGTGTTGTATCGACCACCTAAGACTTTTCACCAGTGGTTGGAAATATATATACGTATATTTATTTGCTGTAATTTTGTTCTTTAAATGAATTTTTAAATATTAGAACAATTTTTCCCTGCAAAGGTATTCC